TTGTAGCATCTGACGCCTGATAGCATGTGGATTAGCTGTTTTGGGGCTCCCTTTGAATTAGCCATCTCTTGTACAGGTGACCCTTTTCTGTATCAGATAACCTGTGTGTTAGTAAACTGCTTCTATATTATTGTACTTTCACATAAATAAAACAGGAATGCAATAATGCTTTTTGTACTGAGCAGTCTTGTAAAATAGTCCTGAAAGTATCTCTTCCTTGGATTCTTATATATGTTCATGTGCAGCAGCCATTGAAATAATGCTTTGAATTCAGAACTTCTATTTGTTTAATTCTGACACAGATAGTCTCATCCCTATTCTTTTGGAATATTATATACCAAGCTTGTAAATTGATGTCAGCTTACTGTTAAAATCTGAATCATTCTGACATCTGGAACGGTTATAATAGGTCTATCTGAGAACTTGCTCCTAGATTTAGGCTATTGAGGAAGAGGGTTAGCAAATCTATTAGTGACCAGCAAATATACTGGCGTGTATATGATCATACTCTTAAGGATGATTATAGTATTATAAAGAACTAATGAAGTTGGGAAGAAAATTCAAGTATGTATATTTTTTGAATAATTAGATAATGTTGCTTCAAATATTGTTCATACAGTAATTTTGTTTTCTAAGAATGATACAATTTTAATTATAAATGGTTGCATGGGTTATGGCTTTGATACAACATGCGTGTAAGTACTGAGACTTCAAGTTACAGCCTGATTTAATATATCTTTGGAAATCCCCATTTGCAGCCCCACCCCAGCTGAGTATAGCTGGGCAGATAACTCTCAAGAGAGCTAGTTTTTCGTACAGTGCACGATTGCACTGCCCTGAAAAAGCTTCCTAGTTAAACAATGTAGCTCATTTTCCTAGGAGACCTGGTAATTAAGTGCGACAGCAAGCCTTGCTTTCTTTTACCTTTTGGGAGCAGAAGTTGTTATTTCCTTTGAATTGCAACCTAAGGTCATTAACAAAAAGACCAAAAAAAGTCAGGAATAGCTGCAACATTGCAAACATTGCAAACAAACCATCTAAAGCATTCAGTTCTGAATTCTCCATGTGAGATGCATATGTTCTCTCAGGACTCAGCGCTGCCTTCTTGCCTTTTATTTTGTTTATGTCCATTCCAGTCTGCTTAGCAGACAAGCCATTAAGAAGAGGAGAGGAGAGGAAAAAAAGGAAAGACTAAGCTCCTACTGGGCTAACTACCACTGCCTTCTGTGATTACGCCCATCCATCCTCATCTAACATTGCTAAATTCTGTAAAGCGTGTTTACACATGCAGAACGCCAGAACACATTTCTGAATGAAACATTTAGTGCTACGTATAAATATTAGTGAACCAGACACATGATTTAATCATGTGAAATCATCATCATAATGAAAAATTCTTAACTGTATATTCTCAATTATTGTTACAGTTAATCATCACATGCAAATCTCACTAGGCAATCAAGACGCTTCAAGTTGTTGGCATTGTAGTTCTATTATGTGGGTATAGTTTATAGTTAAATTATGCTCGAGATACTTGTCTTTTCTAGTAGTAAATACAATTATGGAAAACAAACTTATATAAGACATTTTTTTTTACTTCTTTAAAAATTTCAAATAGAGTTGCTTTACACTATTACTTTCTTGCTCCATCACAGAACTCACATTCTGTATTGTGCACTTCACAATTTGGTTTTGATGGTCCTATGATTTCGCATCATGCTTACTGAAAACAGAAAATCCAGTAAAGAATAAAAGTATTTTTTGACTTACGCAGCTTCATAAACCATGAGGTTTGTATTAAGACTTGGATGGGCTTGCAATGTACAGTTTGTTCTAAACTGCTGCAATTCCTTTTCCTAGTATCCAGTTTCAGTGCAATGCTTGAAGCAGCTGCTACTGGTCAAAAGGACATTTTGTAAATGTAAGTCTGGATTATCTGTGCAAGTAAGTGTCCAAGTTTAAATCCTCTGCTCCCCACCACAGAGAAAATGAGTGAGGCTGGTTTTAAAAGGATCCTTTGTGTAGAACAAATGGAGTGGAGAGAATTTGCCTTTCAGCTTTTTTACTGGTGCCATATCCAGAGAATTTGTTAACATCTGTGGTCTTTAAAGAAAATGCAAATTCTTTCATTTTAGACCAAGATACATTTCTTAATTAGGAGGGTCATGTTTCCTAAATAGGACCTGGTATATTAGAAAAATAAGAGTAAAATGTCCTCTGAACAATGAGTATCAGAGTGTTGAATGATTTTGTGTTATTTAAATTAGACTCTTTAATCTGTATTTAAGTCTAGGCAGAAGTCACCCAACTTAAGGTCACACTTACGTATTTGTTTGCCTAGCTTGAAGATGTGAATCACTTGCTCATGTTTATAAAAAAAACCAAAACATAGCACCACAAACAAAAAACTGTGGACAAAGTAAAAAATCACTTTAGATCCGTTTTTCTTTCTTTGGTTTTGTTTTCTTCACTGCAAGTAAGAAATGTACTTCTTCCAATCGAAAGCATGCCTACGTAAGGACAACTGCTCTGATGCTTAAGCACACACATAATTTATCTCTTAGAAATAGAGAGTACTTGCACAGAAGAAGTTAGGAAAGCAAATAAAGGCATTAATGATTAGACTTAATAAAATATGTAGTTATGGTTGCTTGTTAACATGCAAAACTGGAAATCTCTTTTGAACATTTAGACATATTTTAAAGAACGTCATTCCTAGGAGTTTATTCTGGAGCATTCAGGAATGAAAAGTTTGGAACACATCGACATGAACCATGACAAAACCTCCACATTTTGGACAAGGTAAATAATATAATACATTTAAAACATTAAGTACCGGAAGGAAGCTTCAGGTGAACAGCTTGTGAATTATCTGCTAAAAAAAATCAAAGTCCAGTTTGCGGTTTCACGGCAATGCTAAGTATACACACCTGCAAAGAACACAGTTTTAGCCTAGGGCTCCCATATACCAAACAAATAGCCACCTTTCCCCTCTGTCCTCTCATACTGTCTTTATTTCTTCCAAGCAATTTTGTGTATGATGTGTTATACACATTAAACTAATGCCATCCATTTTACAAGCTAATTACAAGTGATGTACACATACGTACCTTGTAAAATAATTCATTAATAATTTCCTATTCATTTTTGACCTCCAGATTTTAATAAATGAATGATATATTTCTATGGATGCAAAAAGCTAGCAGTACTTCATATGTTTTGAGTGATTCTCTGTCTCGTATTACTTGTAAATAATACAATCCAGTAATTCTGAGATGAGATGAAAAGGATAGCAATGGAAGAAGGATTCAGTAAGCTTGTCATTAAAACTCTAGAGACCAGAGTAAAATATTGCTTAGTCTGCAAATGAAAATAAGCTGATTGGCCTTATCCTAGTTTCTGTTTGAAAATCATTACCATACAACAACATACAACTACTGTTGTACAACTGCCAATCTCTGTTCAACAGAGATGCAGGCCTACAAAAACTGCATGGTGCTCTTACTTCGGCAAGATGGAATCTCACAGTATTTCCAATATATTCCATCCTCATGCTCTGCAATGTAGCACCACGGGCTGACATCTCCATCAGGGTTCCTGAAAGAGAAAAATAGTGAGAGTGAGTGAAAAATCATCAAATATTTTCAAAAACCACATAAAAATAGATCTTATTAAGCTTCAGTGTCATCACCACTTTTGCTCTAATACTAATTGAATATTCAACCTATTGGATTTATATACCAAGAAAAATGCAAAAGTGGTCAGGAAGTTCAGATAACTTTGGTTATTATAGTGCACAGCAAGCATAAAATGCTAGTAATGTTTAAAACATAACTTCTTTATTCTTTAAGTCTAAAAGGTGCAGACCTATTTCTGGACAGTACTGAGAGAGGAAGATTTTCAGCGCCACATCCTGCGTACAGGTTCCTTAGACTCCTAAACTTGATTTTTGCCTTGGTACAAAACAGTCCAAACCCCAACTTTATGTATGTATGATGACAAAAACATTTATCCAATAAAGTCCTCTGGGAAAGGCTGAGGTCTCTTCTTCCTCTTCAGTAAAGCTGAATAGATCTGTTCCAGTCATTCCTTATGCACCCATGATTATCCTTTGCTGTTGTGTAGCATCATTTACAAATGCATACCTAACTAGTCATTAGGTTATTTAAAGCTTTTTCTATGTACACTTTGAAAAACTATTCACATTGAAAAGACCAATTTAAGAGAATGAATTGTTATTTTCGACAGTAAGGTTGAAATATGACCTTTTCTTGTAACAAGGGCCAACTGTACTCTTTTTATCATGTACTTTGGCATGAATTCTATTAATGAGAATCCCCTACACTGAAGTGTCAGTTCAGCTGCACATTGTCATTTGGGCATATTAACAACTCTTTGTGGGAGATCAAATTTTAGAACTGCTGGGGATGGGTTTTGGTCAAATAACAGAATGCTGAAGACAATTACTGAGTTAAGTTCAATTCAGCTGACTAAAATGCTGCTAGTTAGGCTTTCAAATAGACCAGTAAAAGTAGTGGACAAGGAAAGCCCAAGACTAGTGTGCCAGGAATTTAGGTGTAACGGCAGAGCTTCCAGTGGTTAAAGAAAGTAGAAGACTAAAATCAAGCAAAGCTTGTACTCGAAATAACACAATTTTCCTTGTTTTCACAGTTACAGGAAATTCAGCATTTATACCTGCATGACAGAAATCAGATGTCCGTAACTGAATCATGGCAATGGCACTCCACATATACATGCCTTAAAATGCAAGGAAATTGTAGAGAAATGTGATGAATGTTTTTAGAAATCTTTGCCTTGAACCTCAAAAGTGCATACAGTTAGAAAACAATTTAGTGTCTTTCAAAAATCTCCAAAAACTTCAGTCAGCATAATCTTGTTGTGGCTGAAATGAGGTTTAGTGGAACATTTTGAGGCATTTCCATCTTAACAGGGTATCTTGCAGTAAACAAAGTATTCCAAGTAAGGACCACCCATGAAGAGATAACACGCTTCTGATTAATGCTTTAAGTGCAAAATTAGATTTATTCAAATGTTATCCCTAAAATTGAGCCTCAAAGTAATGTATTATGCCTTAAAAAAGCCTTGTGAGACATATTGCCCCAGAGAAGGAAAGATCAACTTGTCCATTGTCAACAAGCAAACCAATGGCAGAGAAAGAGCTAAAACAGCGCTATGTTCACACACAAGGCCTTGACAAGATTTACATGCTAAAGATATTCTCTAACACTCTTAAAACAATGACTTTCCAAGCTTTTTTTTTCAACAGAATGTGAAGTTAAAAAACATCCATTAGTTAGGATCATCGTTCCATACACCTGTGAGAATATTCCTGGGCCAAGTGATACAGCATAAGGAAGGAAATGGCTAACCTTGCAGTCAAACTCCATCTCAAAGAGGATAATCTAACACCTAGCAGATTAAGGTTAAAAAGTTGTATCTGGTAATCAAGTAATTTCTCAGGCTTATGTACCAGATTATAGGCTTCCTGCTTCTTGTAATACTTACCAAATTCTCATTTGCTAAGTAAAGTGAAACTCTAGTAAGGATTACTTGAATACCCGGATAAACATTCAGCTTGTTATGCACATTTGTGCATAGCTTGTACATGTTTTGCTTTGTACTAACCTAAGTACTAGCCAGACATGACTGCCAAAAGTAAGACCCTGCAAATACAGTCTACCTAGGATATTGCCACACAACAACAATCAAAATTACTTTCTTGATTCTGCTATTTGTATCAGAGACAAATCAGTGGCCACTATTCTTTTTAGAGCTCCCTGTTAGTATGCCTACTGAGACACAGCTTTCTACATGTCATGAAACTTGTTATGTATTTGGTGGTGTTGGGCTGAGAGAGGCTATGAAGTTGGTGTGAAATGTCTTTAATGAGAAGACAGTCAGTCCTTCCAGTGCTCACATGCTGATCTGATACTAGACAGCTTGATGGGTTTATTTGGTTTCCAGACCATTTTCTAAAGAGAATGCCCAACTTCTCTTGTAGAAACAAGAGTTTCTCTTGTAGGTGGTGTATTTTAATTTTCTCCTGTGAGATGCTGAACTGATTCAAAAGAGAGTCAATTCAGAACTTGGCAATAATGCTTTCTCCTTCTATGGCTGAAAACAGAGTCCACTGGTGCAACACACTGGACAGTGTTATTTTGAAGCACTGCTGCAATCACTGGAAAAGATCCTGAGTAAGTCTTTTTCTTCCTTGTCCTTCACCAATGTTCTTCAATGATAAATATCCTCCTGAGTCATCAAATATTCTGGGAATGCCACTGACTTCTTTCATCAATGTGCTCATCTGTCTGCTGCATGTCATAAGACCTCTTTTCTGTGCTTTCTTACTCTCCATTAACTGACTGTCTCTGTCATATTTTCTTGAATGTCTATTTCTGATTAAATATGGAAAAGATCAGGAACCAAGACTCTACATTTGTGACATAGCAATTGTGCTGAACTCCTGCATAATCCTTTTGCCTCATTTATCCTGATTTATACTGCTTACAGTGAAAAGATTTCAACATGAAGGTGGCAAGTGTCTAGGCTCTACCCTAGAAAGCCTATAACCTGCTAAGTAAAAGCATCTTCCAGGAGAACTGAGGTGTGGTTTGAACCTTCTCACAAAGGAGACATTACAGCTTTTCTTGCTATGCCCCACGTAACTCAGTTCTCAATCTCTTGGTTTAAACATCTCTGTCCCCATTACCCAGGGAGTAACAGACACCACCCAACTTCATACGGATCCTAGGTGAGCTGATGATTATCACTGTTTAAGGAATGTATCTATCAGGTTATTCCCTATCTATTTCCATAGCAAGTATAGATAGGCATAAAAACTTAGCTGATCAGTCCTGCAAAGGCAGAAGTGTATGTAACTTCCTGATGCACAACATCAGGAAGTTAAATGTTGCAGGCTGAAAAGAGCCTGCGGAGCCTAAATTTCTCTGCACTTAGATTCTTACTTGGCTCCTAAACTCTGAAGTTCTTATTTAAGTTTCATTCTGAGTTCTACCCATAGTTATGGAGGACTTCTCTAGAAGGCAAGGAAATGAAAGTGGATTTGCCATGGTTTAAGCTGGTATTGTAACCACTGACAGTTGAGCTTCTGAATTCAAATAACAACTCTAAGTCACTGAACAGCTTATGCTCACTGAGAATTTTTAGTGACCACATAACTTTCATTAGCACTAAACTTGGAAACATAAGTATGTAACAGAACCAGGCTTGTGGGTGAGGGTAAAAACCGTAATGTTCCAGAGACTCCTACAGACATTCACTAGTGCTTCTGTACTTCTGACTTGGATCAATTTTTTTATTATCTCCACCTTTTCATTTAAGTAATCTCTAGTCTTTCTCTGTCATGTCAAATTATAGACTGGATCTATGACATGGACTTTGGGTGAGAGCTAAGCTGAAAAAGTTATTCTACTAATGGTACTTGTAGATCTAGAGTACCAATTACAGGGTAAAACAAAACCTGCTAGATATCCATGGTTCTGACATTCCTCACTGTATGACAGGAAATTTCCTTATTTTCTGTCAAGTGGTTAAAATAACACCGGGTATACAGGCAATGTTAGTAGCAATGAGATATTTCTTACCTGCAGTAGTTATGCTCTCCAAGCCCTCCCTCCCCATTGGGATATTTCAAAGTATTATAAGGATGCTCAAAGGTCTCATTCCAAAAAAGACAAGGTTTCCCTGCATATTGGGAGGTCTGGTTTTGAGTGCCACGATAGTCAGCCCCATTTGCTGTATAACATTCTGGGAAGAAACGGAAATGGAAAAAGAGAAAGAATGTATGTAGGTTTAGTGTTTGGTTGTTCTTCCCTCACCCGCCACCCCAGCCCCAAAAGCGCATGTTTCCTTTCACTAACATGTTTCCTGCATTGTTTAGGCAACTAAAGATGCTGTCTGGGATTTTCTTTCAGAGTCAAACATCTATTGAAGAGATTATGATTTCACTACTTTACTAAACAATGTATAAGACGGTTAGATCTGAAGAGTGGTTAATAAAATTAACATGCTTTTTCTGAATAAGCGTACTACATTTTTTACTGTTTTCCCTGTGTTTTACTCATTAGGATGAATCTGTAATTTGTTAATTTTCAAAAAATGAAATCAGATGTTATCAGTCTGCCACTTATCAGCATGCTACCCAAAATATCATGCCAGTTTAACTGAAGTTGTGAATATCTGTACTTTCTAAAGTCAAAGATTTTGTAGGCACAGATCTTGCAAACATTTACATCCCAATTTCGAAAAATTCTTAGGCACTTTTTTTTCTGGCTTGAATTCCCTCAGAAAGGGACCTCCTTTGGTGAGGTATAATCATGATACTATGATTTGCTACTAAAGCATTTATGCTTCCAGATTAAAACTTACAGGTCAGTATTCTTCTGCCTCGCTCATATTTTCTCCCATTTATGTTTGTTTTCCTAGCTTCCTAATACTCAGCGAGTTAGAAATCAAAGCAGGGAATGATTTCTCTAGTCATTGAATACACTATCCCCTTCTCAGCTGAACTACAAATCTCATGCTGCCTGGCTTTGCTGTGTCGTATTAATGACAACTTCTGATTCAATACATATATATATATGCATGAACAATTTTACCTTTACTAAAAATACAAAACATTTTTTATTAAATTATGCACTGTGAGGGTGACATAGCATAGGAAGGTGTGGAATCTCCATCCTTGGAGTTATTCAAAAGCCATCTGGACATGTCCTGGGCAACCTGCTTTAGGTGACCACGCTTGAGCAGAGGGATTGAACAAGATGACCTCTGGAGGTCACGTCCAACCTCAACCATTCTGTGATTCAGTGATCATCTTCCAGAAATAATCATTATAATTAATGTACCATAAATAAGTCCATCCTGTTTATAATTAATACTTGGTAACATTTATCACCCATGCATTTATTTAAAAATAGTATTAAAATACAACAGTCCATGACAGAATTAAAACTGCTGTATTACACTGCTGTAAACATTTCTTTGTACTGAAGAACATTACTGGGGAAAGTCACAAACGCTTCCTACTAACTGCAGCTGCACGACCTCCTGTTTTATCCCATAGTATTCTCTGTAGAAACCATGTAACATCTGCAGAGATGTTCTACTGCCCTGAGGGAAAGGGAGAGTGCTCTGGAGCATGCTGATCTCAGGTGTCCCTCGTGACATGTACCTTACAAAACAAGGCTAGAAAGACCTGTGTGGCTGCAGCTGGAAGAGTAAAAAAAACCCACTCCCAATTTAATCCTGATATTAACAGTACAAACATTCTTGCATTTAGAAATACTGTGGGAGAAAGGAAAATGTATTATTAAAACCATGCCTTTGAAATAAGTTTAGTCTGGGTTCACAAATATCAGAATGGTGCAATTATAACGATTATTTCACATTTTTATTACACAGTAGATGAAAGCTGATGTTTTTGTACCTTCACTGCGCATTTTCATGCCTAGGCACGTTAGGGTTTCTATGAGATGGAATTTGTTGCTGAAGGCACACGGAAGAGGTGTCTGCACAGCCATGCATGTATACTGCTATCATCCATGGACAGAAAGGTGTCTAATTTAACAAAAACAAGCTTCAAGTCAATACTCCTCCTTACTGTAATTTACCTGATTGGCTTAGCCATGCAGGTGAGCTACATAAATGTACTTGAAAATGCAAATCTGAGTTTCCAGTATTCAGGCCACCACAGATATTTGCATAAACATATGAAAAAAGCCCACTTTAAAGTCACCACAGTGTTGCAACTCTCTTCAATACCTCTCTTGCGTTGCAGTTAATGTAAAAATTTTTCTATGTCATAGCTGAAAAATATAAGCTGATGAATTTGGCAGAAAAGAGAGGAAAACAATCAAACTGGATAAACAAAATAAGGTACAGTATAAAGCAGTTGTGAGAAGTGATAAACACATCCAGAAAAGATGTCTACTTCAGCTTAGTGCTATTGCTTTTTTTGCGTCTCACTTCCAAACAGAGAAGCAGTATGTACTAACATCTACTCAGAAATGCAAGGAATGCTACAATACCTGAATGTAATCTGGCACACAGACTAAACTGAAGTTAACATCAGTTTGGTTTAGGATCTGCTAAGACTGGCCCATGCTTTAACTTGCAGTAGCAACTGCCTTTCATTTTCATGTCAGCTTTTTTTTTTTTTCTTTAAAAATAGATTTTCTTCAAACTTCATTACAGTAGTACTTTAAGGACACTGCACAAAAGGAAGAGCCAGAGCTCTCTTAATTCCTCTCAGCTGTAGTCTTTTGTTCCTAAGACAATACGTATCTTTAACAGTGCTTCCTCTGTTCTTTTGAACTACCAAGATATTTGGGAAAAATGTGCCAGCTGGGTTGTAGTGAAACACCCCTAGCTTTGTTAGCATCTAGATGTGGAAGGAGGCGGCAGTGAGATGCCACATAAAAGCATTGATTATCCCAGAAAAACTGAAATGAAAACTTTAAGTTATGGAATTCAGCAGCGGTTATCAAAATAAATACATATCTTTTTGTGGTACAGGGAATTTGCTAGGACATTTTCATTTTGTTAATTATTAATAATAATTTTGCCATAGCATTGGAGTGCAAACTTTTCAAGTAAATACTGGCGTTTAAAAATCAGGTCCTCAGTCCTACATTCTTTTACCTTGAACAATCAGCTTTGATATCTGCTGAGATACATTTTGTAAAGTTCTCTATAAAATTCCTAGTAACATGGATACAGATCTTTCAGCATATTGAATATCTTGGTATTAAGCAACTGAATTCTTCTATTTATCACACATAGGGATTTCACCATATTTTGCTGCACAACAGATGAGACACTACCTTAGCAATCTCACTATGAAATTTATATACCCCATATTTTGAAGGTGCAAAGTGAATGTTCCATCTGCAGATAGACCACTGTCCTCTCAATTTCAAATCCATAGGCCACACTTTAAAGACAAAAGTCCTAAGAGATTCTGGAGAAGAGGAGATTAGACGCTCTGTCCTTCTTTTGGTTTTGCACCACTGGTGCAGTAATACTGTGAAAAGATGAGCTTAAAAAAGGTCAGTCAGATTTGTCTGCACAGAACTAATTCAGAAGAGGTCATCTAAATAAAAGAGTCAGAAAATAGTGGACTGAACACTTGGTAAAACTCTTGGGCTTACTCAAATGACCTGATTTCTCTTTGGTAGATTATGATAATGTAGAAGGGAGGGGGAAAAAAATAAACCAACCAACAACAACCACCTCTCCTTTACAGTTCTGGCACCCACTGAATCCAACTGCTTTACATTGGTTGATACTTCCACGTTACTTTAGGCTATGAAGCCCTTCACCTGGAATCTAACTAACATCAGAACAGTGACTCCAGGAAATTCATACCAGTTCCATGAATTTGAGCAAGCCTTATTCCTTAAGGTTTTGTAAGACTACAGCATACTACCACCGAACTTGCACTGTATCGAAGTCCTCTCTGAGTGGCAAAGACAGTAAGGGAAGAACAGGCACTTTGTGGAGGCTAAAGCTGACAGTTTCCTAGAAGGCATCAGTGTGCCACTGTGCTTGACAGATTTGTCACGTGGTTTCTGTTCATGCACCCAAGGCTCAGTTTAAACTATCCTGTCAACCATGAACCTGTATTAAATCACTGGGGTTTTAGACAGGACACAGAGAAAGCTGCGACCATTCAAATATTGAAGTCTTCAACCTCCTTGTATTTCTAATATCTTAGTCAGCTGGGTTTCAGACATAGTCTGAAGTAGAGACTTGTGTCAAATCCATGATTAAAATCAATGTCTGTGATGATTTTACTCTATTAACTGCCTAATGACCCTGCTGCTTTACTGTTGCATGAGGATGTCTGCAAACAGAATTAATCAGAGATAGAACCATTGCAGTGGTTCTAGTCATGAAAAGTTGGAAAGTTCGAACAGGTCCTGTTCAGAACAATGCTTATGAGCCTTAGTGAGAAAACACGGACAGCAGTGTGCTGTCAGGGCAGTTTTGTTTTCAACACATCAGGTCTCACGGTTGACAGAAAAATAACTCTGTTTTTTAAATGAATACTGAGACTAGATAAGCACATATTGAGTGGCAACTGCTAGAAAGAAAAAGCAGAAAATAAGCTTGGGGATGGTTGTCCACTGTGAGTGAATGCTCAGTGTGTGATACAGGTTCACAATTAGTTTTATTAGAGCCAGATCAACATTTGGAAGATCAAACAGCAGCTGTAGTAGAAATTCTTTCCATCTGTCTCGGTTTCTTCTTCGATGTAGGGACCTTACAATGATCATTTATGCCTTTGTTACTTTGGGACTGTATGGCTGCCTGCACTCCACATGGGCGCCACTTTAAGATCATCTGAAAAATTAAGGTAGTGCAGAATGTAACAGCCTGACTTTTTTACTGAATGAAGCACTGATGATAAAACACTGACATTTCAGCGTCTGCATTGGCTTCCAATGATTTTCTAAGATGGACTTCCAAATACTGGTCCAAATCTTTTAAGTCCTTAATGGCAATAGGCCCAGTCACCTGAGAAACTCTCATTTCGTGCCACATTATCACAAATAGAAATGATACTAACATTTGCATTTCATTTGCAGTCTTTTCTGTACAAATCAGATGAAAAGCAAAAAAAACAGCTATCTACTTCTCAACACTCTTCCTTTTCTGGCTGATAAACAGGAAATCTTATAAATTTTCTAAACATTCTTCAAAATTCATATTTTCTCAGACATATATTTAGTGACATTACAAAT